CTCCAGAATATATCAGAGGATATGTTAAAGAAAACAAAAAAGAAAAAATAAGGAAAATCTAGTATTCATGTTTGAAGCTAGGCTGGTGTCATCAATATTCCAGAAATTCTGTGCTGGTGTGCTGGTGTGCACAGACAGGGTTGTGTTGGAGGATGTGTGAAAGCTGGACTCATCATTCCCTCGAGGCCTCCTCTGTCCCCACCCCACAGGGTAAGAACAAGCAGTGCAGGCAGAAACTCGATCTTGAATGGAGAAGAGTATACCTAACAATGCTGTACCCAGTGAAGTTGTCATTTACATATGAGGAAGACAGAAAGATATTCTCTTACTTCAGGGTCATGGACAGGATTCAACTCTTATTCTTACTAATGTAACCTGACTGCTGGAGGATTGAACCAGTGATGAACATAAGAATAGACAATTTATGGTATCACAGGACTCCTGGTCAGCAGAGAAAGCAGTTAAGTTAGAGTATCTCAATTATTGTTAATGTAATGGCAAAGCTTAATGTAAATGTGAAAATTAGTCTAAAAGATACAGATCATAGAAAATCTAAAGATAATAATATTAGCTGAAGATGACAACCAACCAACCAAAATGTAAAAATGGAAAGTGTGAGGTATAGAAATGAAAGGTGGGCAAAATTCCTTTTATGTGAAGGGGCTTACCAGACTCAAATAATTAGAAAGAAATATTTTTAGAGAAATCTAAAAGTGCTGCCTTAAATTAAAATAGGATGTATATCTTTCTTATTACTAGAGAAAAATGTATTTATTAAAAAACTATCAGAAATACAAGGAGAATGTGGAAGGATAAATTTAGAGTAGCAATTATACATACAGTACGTTAAATAATAGGGTCAAAAAGATACATTAAATAATGCATTTAAAGCACTACTCATGGAACACAGACAAAACTCCAATGTATTAATTCACAAAAAAACCTAAATTCCAAAAGACAGATATTCTTCAGGACACCTTTTTGAATCCAATGCAATGAACTAGAATAAATAATTAACTAATACCCAGGCATCTCAAAATTTTAGGATATTCTTTTTGGAACAAAGGGAAGACAAAATTAGAAATATGGCTATTCAGAAAGTTGCAACAAAGCAGGGCTTGGAGGGGGAGAACCACAAATATATTAGAAATCTTAGATATACTGTGTAGCATCTGTGCTAGAACATTTAAAATATCGATGAAATGCATGAGTTTTCAAGGAAATTACAAATGATATTGAGGAATAAGGAACGAACCTATGGTTTCTGATTGGCAATCTGATGGATGATGGCTATTCACTCAAAGTTGGGTGAGCTTGGGGTATCTTAGGTGGGTGGAGTCTATGGGGCATCCCTGTGGAAATTTCCAGCCAATACCTGGACAGTTAAGGCAGAATCTCGGGCAAGCTGTCTGGACTGGAGATAAAGATTTGTGGTAGTCAGCATGACATGGAAATCATAGGGGACACTGATGAGGTTGATGAGGGAGAATATAGAGCCAAACAGAAGACTGGCTTGGCAATGGGCATGAGGAGCAGCAGTGTCTACAAGACGGAGGAAGAGTGGTCCTCAAAGTGGGCTGAGATGGCGTGGCTGGGGAGGTAGGAGTGAAACAGGGCAGTGCACATTTAGGAAAGGTGATGGGTGGAAGAATTTCCAGCAGGAGAGTATTTCCAGTGTCATAACTTGCACTTATGATAAGCATGGAAAAATTCTGGGGTGCCTGGGTGACTCCATCGGAAAAGTGACTGACTCTTGGTTTTGGCTCAGGTCCTGAACTCAGGGTCATGGGATTGAGCCCCAAGTCAGGCTCCACTCTCAGTGGAGAGTCTGCTTGGGATTCTCTCTCTCCCTCTCCCTCTGCTCTTCGCCTCTTCCCCCTCTCCCTCAAATAAATAAATCTTAAAAAAAAAAAGAAGAAAAGAATGGAAAAGTTCCTCTTGATTTGGCTAAAATATTATTGGTGACTTTGACAGAAATTTCACAGACTTCTTTCAAACTTTTAGTCAAGAGATAATATCCATGCTGTGTAAGTGTTATAGAGCATAGGATAAAATATAGAAAGCTTCTCAATTTATTTTTCAAAGCTGGTATAAAATAATAATCAACCAGAAGCTGGCCAAAACCATGTACACAATCCCAATTATTAATATGGACACATAAACTCCCAGCAACAGTAATAGTAACCGATCCTTGTTGAGTGCTCAATAGGTGCTAGGCACTATTCTCAGTAACTTAATTGATTTAATCCTCACACCAGGAATTTAAGAAAATATTAACAAATTGTATTCAGAAATATACTAAACAAATTATATACCACATCCGTGACTAAAAGTTTAATTGTGAAATATTGGGAGATCTATTATAAAATATAAGTTGGTTAAATGAGAAAATTTATGACTGGAATTTCCTAAAATTCTAAGAAGTCCTGGTAAAAACCCTTATTGAAGCATGAGAACTAATTTGATGGTGAAATGTTAGCGTTATTCCCATTCAGAGAAAAACAAGCAAGAATATTCAACATCATCCTCATTTTTAGACAGTTTGGGACATTTTAGCCAACACGAGAATGAGATTAAAGAACTAAATGGAATTAATATACCGACAAAATATGTAGATGCTGTGAATGTATGATCCTAAGAATGAGCAGTAATAATGACATCTGCTGGGGGTTTGGTTACAAAATAACAGATAGCTACCATTGGTTAAGAACTTCTGCACCAAGCACTGTGTTGAGGGCATTATATCAATGGTCTCATTTAATTTTGACAGCAAACCCATGAGATGGATTTTAAAACATAAGCTTACAGAAATTAATAGTGGAGCTAGAATTCAAACCCAAGATCTATGTGACTCTAAAGCTGATTCTTTTAATGACTCTGCCATATACCACCACGCACTCCCCTCACACGCTGCCTGAATGGACATATAAAAACCAAAAGGGTTTCTAGACACTAGTAAAATTCTTAGAAAATATGATGAGGGAGTAATCATATTTACAAGAAAGATGATAAAAAGTGAAATACATAGCAAAAAAAAACCAAAAATGAAATATAAAAAACTTATTCCCTAGATGATAAGCACATTTTACTGGTGGAGCTAAAGGAGAAGAATTTATATATGTTTGTATATGTATATGCAAATACACACATGTATTTCATGTGTGCGTGTGTGTGTGCGTGTGTGTGTGTGTGCGTGCGTACTTATGGAATTGGGATGGTCTTTCTACCTATAATACCTAAGGACAAATTGGGATATGATATTGTAACATGGTGACAGAGCATTAAAAATATTAATATGTAAAGTGTTTTTAAAAAAATAAAATGACTAATCCCCAATAGAAAAGAGTGCAGAAAGTATCAACAAGCATTTCATAAAAGAAAAAATTAAAATGATCAGCAAGTATAAGAAAAAGCTCTTCAATCTCACTGATGAATAATCATATAGAAGTGACCACATGCATTGCTGGCGGGATGATGAATTTGTACATTCTTCTGAGAAGTGTTCAATGGGATGTGTGTTAGTCCTTAAGTATAAATCACAGTTTTTGGTCCAGTAATTCTGATTCTTGGAATTTTCCAATTGAAATCATTAAAGCTATACACAGCAGATAATTATTGCTCTGATTTTTATAATAGTGAGAAATTAAGGATCACGTTAAATGCCAAGCATTAGAAGTCATTTAAATAAATTATAGACCATGTCATGGAAAAATATGCAGGAATTTTAAATAATGTTATAAAAGAATAATTAATAACCTGGGGAAAAGTTTGATATATTGTTAAGTTGATAAAAAGTAGGTTATGTAACAGTGTGAATAAGATGTCTCTGAATAATTTTAACTATGTGTGTGTGTTTAAATCTGGAAGGATATAAGCAAAAATGTTAACCCAGATCGTCTCTGAAATGGTGAGGTGATGGATGATTGTATTTTTCCTTCCACATTTAAATTTTTTTTTATAATTCTTTTAAACAAAAGGTGTTGCTTTGATACTTAGAATAACAGCAACAAATATTCACAAAACATATGTGCAAAAAAGGAAGATTAAAAAGGAAATACACCCTCCTGTGTTTACTGCTGCCTAATGGGAGTGCAGGTGGTTATTATTTTATTCTTTGCATCTTTTTTCTTTACTTTGATCGTGCATTAATTACGAAAATATAAAATTTAAACAACAGACTTTTAAGAAGTCAAGGAAGAGAGGAAAGAGAAAGGAGAAGGGACTCAACTCCAGAAACTCTTTAGCACAGTAGAAATGCTGAGCTAGGTCATTCTTTCACTCCCTCCCTCCCTCATTTTACAATTGCAGACGCTAAGCACTAAGTGCCTACTACGTGCCGGGCACTGTCTTCCACAATGAGCACACAGTGGCAAAACAAAGCCAGTATGCGTCCTGATTCTATGACGCTTTCAGCATATGGTGGAGCCTGACATCAAATGAATGTACATGTAGCAAATGGTAATTGCAAATTCTGAAAGTGTATTATGCATAAGAACAGGGCTTTATGAGAATAAACTCACAGAAGGTTTGTATATGTATGAATGTAAATATTTGAGAGAATAAGAAAAAGTGATAATTAGGAGAATGAATAGATGATAAAAGTATACTTGGGAAAGAGAAGGGGGAAGAAGGCAAAGCATGTAAGGGTGGTTTATTGTCTTCATAAAAAACTGGGATATGGGTGATTGTGTAATATTTCTGATTATTTGAGAGTGAGCAGAGAATTGTAAGTTGTGTGCACTTAGGGCAGAAATAATAAAATAAGTGTAATCATCCTGACATTTTGAAATATCATTCTAGTGCAAAGACATTAAACTACTATGAATTCCAAACTTATAAATGTGAATTAACCAATGTCACCTTTATCCTTAACTAATTGTGTCCGTTATGAATCAATTCTCGGCTAATACCAGCACCTTTCTGTTGTGGGTGGAAGACTTAATTAGAGGCTTTGTTTATGGCCATGAAACACACTCAAAAAGAGGACTTTTATTTTTCAGCATTAAATGAACCCACCATAGACTATGGCTTTCAGAGACTGCAGAAGGTCATCCCAAGGCATCCCGGAGACCCAGAGAGATTAGCTAAGGTAAAAAAAAAAACACTTTGGAAATTGACAGGTGAAAACCTTATTATGGGATTTCAGCAAACTTAGATGAATCCTGCAAATTAAGTCCCTTTAAAATTACATTAGGCCCTGAAATTTGGCTAAGCTTCAGATACACATAAAATATCTCCTAACTCTGAGATATATTGTGATTAATATCCGGGGGAATAGGAAATCCGAAAACTTGGTCCTATAAAACAGATACACTAGAAGTATCCAGCTTATGAAACATTGCCAACTTTATGAAAATCAATAATTGCATAATGGCTTAAAAATGTAAGTTCCCGTGCCTTTGTATTTGAATATAATTTTATTCACCCATTAATTGCCGGGACACGTTAATCCGCAGTCAAGTATTCATCGAGGGACTACCCTGTAAATAGGTATTTAGTGAAGTGAAAAATGCCTCCATAGAAAATTTCTATGAAATGTTTTGCTTTTAAGTGAACTTGCTTATGACAATTATATCATGAATCTGGCCCGTTATTCTAGCTTTCTTCATTGAAAAATACATTAACTTATTAGGTATTCAATCAATGAGACGTTATTAAATTTTAACATCTACATTTGCATTTTGAGCACACACATTATCATATGCCGTGTTCTCTTTTCTGTTCTGTGAGTAAAATTCAAGTACCACATTTGCTTCTGCATCACACCTTTATTTTCCTCTTGGAAAAATCCCCAGCCCCACCATTAAATTAGATGATATCTGGAAAGTAGGTTAATAGCAATTTAAAAGGCTGTTAAAAGCAGGAGGTGGAAAAGACAAAATGAGACGAAAGGGATTACTGATGACTAATTCTCTCTGGTTAAAGTGAACAGGGGGAAATATTATTGAAAGAATTCATCTTTATTAGAATAAAATTTTGCAGAAGGCACTGCCAAGATAATTTCAGTATTACGAACAACTCCTTGGCAAGCAGCTAAACTCAGGTCAGTCAATCATCCTAAGAATTTTTGGCTAATTTAGAGTCCCGAATTCTTTAATGGAATGGTCTGAAAGTTTTTAATGGCACTTCCATGACTTTAGTAATTGTAACCAGCTCCACCTATTTTGGGGGTGCAATCATGGATGGAACCCTTTTATCTAGATGAATTCCATGTAGATACATATTTAGAGAGGGATTTATGTGTACGGTTATATTCTGCCTGTCAAACCAAATATAGGACCTCGTAGCCAGTTATTTATACTTTAGGGAGGATGTCTGGACTTTTTATTTTATACATAATTTTCCTTTGAGTTGGCCATTGGGGGGTCTGACCTTTGCTTATACCTCACCCTTTCTGCTCTTTTTCTAGGAGATGCTATTGAAAAGAGCTGCAGACCTAGTGGAGGCCCTCTATGGCACACCACACAACAACCAGGTTAGGTGCTCCCATCTTACACTCCGTTGAGTTTGACTCTTTGTGCTGGATAAAAATGCTCACCTCAACCTGCCATTTTGTAGGACATCATTCTGAAGCGAGCTGCAGACATTGCTGAAGCCCTGTACAGCGTCCCCAGGAATCCCAGCCAGATCCCAGCTCTCTCCAGCTCCCCAGCTCACAGTGGCATGATGGGCATCAACTCGTATGGCAGCCAGCTTGGGGTCAGCATCTCGGAGTCAACACAGGGAAATAATCAAGGTACTACCCTTTCTCAGAGTCAAAATTCCGAACGTCTTATCCATTTACAAGGGTGGTTTTGCTTGAGTGGAGGGAGGTAAAGCTTGATTCATATACCATCAAAAAAGAGTGTCCCCAGATAAGCCGTGCAATCATATATTGGATTATTCCAACATGATTGGTGGTGTTTTGTGAGATTTGGGGCTTTTTAGGTCCCAGGTAGAATCCCTTTGATTGCAAATATTTAAGGTCATGATGAACTGTGACTTACTTAGAAGGGTTTTGACTTCCTGACTTACAGGTATAATTTGACTAAAATGTGCACTTTTGCTATTGTGATTATCAGCTGAGGAAGAGTGGTTTGGTTTCCTTTAGTGACTTCTGCTTGTGTATTGTCTCATTTGCAAACGCAGAGCAACACACTTTCAGTTAACTGTGCTTTTCACACGTGAAGTATATCACGTCAAGATTTTTGTCACTGAGGTTGATTTTATTAAGGTGCTAAGCTGATCACGAATCGTTTTTTTTAAAGGAATAAATTTCCTAAGGATGCCCCTAACCTTAGTTTTATTTCCAATTTCATTCATCCATTGGAAGAGAATTCTTCATTCTCATGCCCAGGGTGAGTTTTTCTTACAGAAGGGTGGGTGCGGACATGTGATGGCTTTTTTTTTTTTTTTTTCCCTTCAAATTGAGGTCATTTCTTAAATAGCTTTAGAGACTGTTATCCAAAGCGGGTTATTTCAGGATGGGTTAAGTGATGTCTCTGTGCTGGGGTTTCAGAAGTATGGGGAGGACTTGTTGTCCCTTCTCCATCCCTCCCACAGACCAGATCTCTCTGCGCTCAATTGCTGATGCTTCCACATCTTTGGCCAAAGAATAGCACATTTAGATGAACTTAACAACAATTTTTAAATAAAGATGTTCCCCACCCCCACTCAGGGCATATGGTAAAAACCTTGAACTAACATTTCCAAAGGTATGATCTGCAGGGTATGAGTGGCCCTTGGGATGTTATTAGGATGCCTTTTGCCCACCATTCCCAGCAAAGAGACTGTGGTGTGCTAAATTTGGGAAACACTAGGTTAGCAAAGTTAAACTGTTTTGTTTATTCTCTAGGTCCCATGTAAGTGAATCTTCAAGGAATGGCTACAGTACACAACATCTGCCAGGCTTTACTTGACCACAGAACACTTGCCTCAGTGATAGCCCTTAAGATCTCATAGGGCTCTCATGGGTTGAGAAGTTTAGCCATCACTCCTTGGTGTGAGCTGGAGATGTTGACTGCAAAAGGGAACAAAGAGGAAGGAGGGACTGTCAGGGACATGGCCTTGTGTAGGATGGGGAAGGGAGATAAAGGCTGAAGACAAATTTAAGACTTTCCACCCCTGCCCAGGAGTGGCTTGGTGGTGTTCTATAGTCTGGGGACCATGTGGGCCCATGCCACCATATTTGGCCTGTGCTGGATGTGTGTGCCAGTTCATTTATCTGGGCTTTTTCCTTGTCCAGGGTACATCCGCAACACAAGCAGCATCTCTCCGCGAGGCTACTCTTCCAGCTCCACCCCCCAGCAGTCTAACTACAGCACCTCCAGTAACAGCATGAATGGCTACAGCAATGTCCCCATGGCCAACCTGGGCGTCCCAGGGTCACCAGGATTTCTAAACGGCTCCCCCACAGGCTCCCCTTATGGAAGTAAGTGCCCTTTCCATCTGTCCAGCTCTCTCTGTGTCTCTGTCCCTGGGTTTTACTCTTCAGCCTTTTGAGGGAGAGTTACACCCCTACATCTTACTGATTTGTAGAGGAGTAGCCCAATTTCCCGAGGAAATTTCTGTCCTGCCTTTTGTTCTTTTCTCTTAGCTAGACTTTGGTGCACTTAGTTGCTCAAAGCCTTCTGAAGGAAAGAAAAGGAGTGAAACTATTCGCTTTGTACAAAGAAAGGGTAGATGTATGTGGCTGTGTGGCTGGGGCTGAGGAGCAAAGAGTCCATCTCAGTTAACGTTATGCATGCTCCTCATTAGGCACTCTCAGATGTAATATTTTCTTTAATCCTCATAAGAACTTTCTCCTTGCTGTGGATGAGGAGGTTGCCGTGCACAGAGGTTAACTTATCCAAGATCACACCGCTAGGGTAGAGCAGGGCCATCATTTGAACACAGTTTGTGGCTTGGTTATTTTGTCTGTCACACCACGCTCCTGTGTCACTTTTTTACATGACCCTCCCTTCCTTGTGTACCTTCTGAGAGATGGAATTTAGCTGCTCATGAGAGAGTGATCTGAGATGGATTTCTTAATCCTAATCTGGGCTAGCTAGATATCCTAGGGGTTTGTGAAAACTCATTTGGGTTGCTTTGAGGCCTAAGAAGACTAAGAGAATATGTGTCTTCAAAATTACCTAGGGAATACTTCAGGCCCGGGGAGAAGCCACCATGGAGAGTCTGTGTGAGTGGGTGGAATGTTCTTGAAATGCTGGTTCCCGTTGCCGAGGCTCTAGAGCAGACCCTCTGTTCACCCAGGGTGGTTCCCTCATGCCAAGAACAAGAACAAGTCAAGGACAGCCCACAGCCATTTCCACCGCAGCTCAGGGAGTGATACGCCAAGGATCTGGAAGCTGCCTTTCTCAGCCTTGTTGGTTCTCTGGGGACACACACCCATGAGTTAATTCTGGGTTATCTATTCACTTCATTACCCTCAAGAGTCTACTCAGTGGGATAAGGACATAATAACCAAGTAGCAGAGGTATTAGAGGCTGGTTCTTCTGCTAAAACTAAAATCTTGTTGCTATAAAGACATGAGTTCTGTGTTGTGTCGTGTCAGATGGCCCAGATCAATTAGATCAGAGTGGTCTAGATGAATAAACTGGTGCTTGCTTGATTTATTTCTTTACTTGTTTTTACCTTATCTTGTTCCAAAAATGTTTGGGGAGATATTAATAGTGAGATGAGTGTTATGAAAGTATAAAATAACAGCTATAAGAAACTGAGATAAAAGAAAAAAATGTGGATAGGAAAATTAGATGAATCCAAGAACTAGTGTGGAGGCCTTCAGTCTATTCAAGGGAGCCATCCACTTGGTTCGGAGGCTTGCAAGATGGGAAAGCAAAGAAACACTATTTGTTGTAAGATTTTATGTCCACACAGTTTTGGGGGGATAGCTCAGGAGAAACATGATTTTTCTGTTGCTGACACCTTGGAGAGACTTCTCCCATGCATCACTGTGGAGAGGGTGCCCCTTCTTCACATCTTCAACAAGTGACACAAGGGCAGGAGAGCTACTATGTAAAGGATGTCACACAATGATAGTGGCAATAATAAGAGTAACTCACAACTGCATTCCACTTTGCAGCCTAAAAAGCATGTTCAAATATAGAGTCACAACAAGCTTACGCCATGGCTATAATCATAATTATTACTATCATTTTCCCTTATAAGATATGAAGAGTTAGTATGACTTACTCAAGGATTCATAAATAGTAAAAATAGGACTAGAAATATGTCATCAGATTCAGAATACCATGTTCTAAAATTATTCAATAATTTAAGAAATATGTCATGTTTTTATAATATATAATTAGGCTGAACACTATAGAATTACTTTTTGTTGTTTCTCCAAATGGTAATTTCACGTGTTCAATATACTTTTATGAATAAAAATCTGTGTATGAGGTTGAACCATACAAGTTGTCATTTTTGTAGATCAAAAATGGTCAATATAATAATATAGTGTATAGTGTGGTGAGGAGGGAGAGAGAGCAAAAGAAAGACAGGGAGGGGTGAAAAAGAGAGACAGAGATAGAGAGACAGAGAGAGACAGAGAGACAGACAGACACAGAGAGAGGATGAACAGATACATGAATATGTCCACTGGGTAACTGCTTGATATTTTTTATGAGATAATTCCTTTGGTAGGGAGGGGACCTTCCCACTCCAGCAAGTGACAACTTCCTTCCACTAGCCTTTGTCGATCATCCAGTCCCATTGCCACAAGGAAAATGATAGCACCCAAATCTTCAAATCACCCATTAAAACAGGACAGCATATGCAGAATAGAAAGAGGCGCCCTGCCCAACAGGAGGGGGAAACACAGCAGAGAACCCACTCCTTGCTTCCACTGGGTCCGTGTGATCTCTTGCACCTTTATTTTCTGAAGGAGGGTCTGAGAAGTCGCAAACTGGGAATGGTTTCCAAACAGCGCCTCATTATGATAAAATCCCCTACTGCAAAAATACTGACTACCCCACGGAGTTCATTACAATAGCATCTGACCTGTATTTCTAGCCAGCTAAGTCTTAACTTCTCTGAGAAATACAAAAAACAGCCCAGGGGAAACCATTTTGTCAATTCTATTGCTTGTGTCTAAAACCACCAGTCTACGATCTTGTGTTGTCTTTTTCAAACTAGTCTGATGCGGCCAGGCTGTGCCCGGAGCAATCACTTGCCAGAGTCATTCAGAGGAAATAAAAGCCAAGCCTCTCGGTCAAGTTGATTTGCATTACGGCCATTCTGATGCAGAGTATCAGAAACCTGCATCTTTACTGCTTTTGCTCTCACACTACTTCAAAAAAGGCCAAACAGATGTTTTTTCAATTTCACATACAAACTTCACTTCCTGGCGGTAGCAGTGTGTGCCAAGTTCCAGCTCAGTGCAAATTTTTATGGCTGAATTCTAAACCCCTGACAATAGGGGGTTATAGTGAAATGCTGACAGACCCCTTAGCGCCAACAAATGCAATGGCTCAATGCAAAGGAGGATATGGTGCCCGGTGAGTTCCAACTGGGACTGTGCAAGCCAGTCAATCTTTATAAGAAGAAAAGTGGTTTTTCCTTAACTCCCCATGTTCACAGAGATTTGGGGGCCAGAAGTATTTGCCTTTTCTTTGGCCTCTGTAGAAAGAGAGATGTCCAGAGAAATTCTCAGTTGCAAGTGGAATTGCAATGGTGCGCTCTGGTGTCCCCAAAGATGGTCTACTCGACAAGCTTGCAATACTCATGGGACCACTTCTTCCAAAGCAGAATCGCCACCAAGCAATTCCAAATGTGGGACAGAATCTATACAGAAATCCAAACTGTGTTCAGGGATTCCTACTTCATTTACATCGTCTTAGACTGTGCCCTGGGGCTCAATATTTTTATATTTTCAAAAATAAATATCAAGACATTTATTCTATTGTAGAGTATTAAATGATGATTATAGAAAATTTAGAACATATGGAAATAGTTTCAAAAAGAAAGCATACTCCCACCATAAAAAACAACCTTGTTAACATTTTGACATATTGCTATTGTCTTTTTCTCCAGCAAAGAAAAAAATCCTATTACAATAGTAACATTCTCATTATGCACAATTTAAAAAGCATGTAAATATAAAAAAGAAAAGAAAAATGACACTCTATTTCTGTGTGGGCATGACTATCGTTAACTTTTAAAGTATGGCTTTCCAGCTATAGATGGATACGTTTTGGAAATTGCAGTGTCTACTCTGATGCACACCTAATGGGATTCTGCCACGAGATCAATGAAAGAGGGAATGGAAGAAAAGTGGCAAAATTATCAAAGTCACAGATATGAAGCTAGGCTCCATAAAATCTGTCAGTGATGCAGACCTGTATCCTAAGAATGGAGAACGGATATGAGGAGTGCTGTTTGCTTTGCGAAGTTCACTGCAATCAATAAGCTTTCCTCAGGAATTTGAGAATTTATTAGTCTCTGCTTTTTTTGTTAGCAGAAAGGTCAAAAGGCAACCTTGTTTGCAGGTAGTAAAGCCCTAAATCGAAGAGGAACATTAACACGCAGGAAAGCTGTTATGCCTATTGTTAAGGGTTATATTATTTTTTTAACCCCCCCAAAATGGAGAGTTTCCATTTGTTTATTTTAACAGCTTTGGTTTCTGCTACATCAAAGTAACGCATGTTCATTGCAGAAAACTTTGAAAATATGGACAAGTGAAAGGAGTAAATTTAAGAACATTCGTAATCCACCAGCCAGAGAGAACACTGTTAAAAGTTTGGATGTATATCGCATCCTTCTAAACTTTTGCTTTGTATGTTTTCTTAAAAAATAAAATTGGGCTTGACGTACATGTTATGACATAATTTGCATTATTCATCTGAGGAGGCATATCTTTCTGAGTTGTCGAATATTCTTCTCCAACATTAGCTTTAATATTTGCATAGCATTCTATTTTATAGACTGAATATACTTTACCCTGTTGCTTGGTCACTTCTGTTTTTTTTTTTCCAGTTTCTCACAATTGTAAAAATGCCCTTGAACCTATATTTTGTTTGTTTGCAAATTTATGATTACCTCCTTGGGATTAATTTCTCAAAATTAAATTACTAGGTTAAAAAATATGCATATTTTAAAACACTTTGATTTTAAATACACATTGCCAAAATCCCCCCAAAGAGATGAATGTTCCCTTAGAAAAGGAAGAGTATCTGTTTCCCTGCCCTGTTCATTTCTTCTTAATCTTTGTCAATTTGCTAAAGCGGAAAGTATCCTCTCGTTGCTGTTTTAATTTGCATTTGATTGAAACAGTTTGAACGTTTTTAGGTCTTTTGGTCATTTTCGTTCCTGTTTCCTTTTGTGACTTTGTTTTTCCTATCCTTTGCCCACTTTTCTTATCAGGATGTTTTTCTTTTCTCTAATTAATTTATAAAAAACTTATTAGCTATCAAGGATATGAACATATCTAGATAATTATCAGGAATATTTTTCCTAATTTGTCATTTGCCTTTTCTATGTGTGTTACAGAAGTTTTTTTGTCATGTGGCCAATCTTATCCTGTGATGTTCTGAGGTTGAAAGGATTATGTAAATTATATAACCTTCCTAATTTTTCTACTAGAGCCTTTATAATTTTGTTTTAGCAAATAACTCATTAATCCACTTACATTTACTTTAGTGTTTAACACGAGGAAGCGCTTTAAATTTCTGTCTCCGGGGGACTTGTGTATTGTTCCCAAGCATTTATGTCCCCATTAATTTGAAATGTCGCCTTTATTAAGTTTCAGTTCTCATATATATCCAGGTCTGTTCCTGGCCTCTTTTTTCTCCAAGGATTTGTCTGCCTATTTCTATGCTAGTATAACACTGGCTTCACAGATGTAGATTTTTCGTTCAGTTTTAATATCTGTTAAGATGAATGCCTCCTTAGTACTTTTGAAGTATTAACAAGACTTTCTGGTTCTTACACTGTTGTTGCTTTTTAAATAGATAAACATAGAAATTGTGTTTGTTGACATATACAAATTAAAATTCCTTTTGGGATTGTCTCATTACATTTTAAATTAATTTGGACCTTAGTTTAGCATTTTACAAAAATTTTGCAAAAACTGTTTGAAATGGGCATGTTGTAGCTCTGTGCTTATTCAACTCTGCAACAGTTGTTTTATGTCACTTAGTAAAGTCTGAGGTGACTCCTCTACTAAGAGGCAGCCACCTTTGACCTGATGAAGCCACTTTAGGTTGAGGTCTGTTATTTAGAAAAGAAATATTTGTAAAAGTGAGTGCTGCACTGAATATAAAGGGAATCAAGGTGTATATGTAGGCCTAATCTCCTTATAAAAACCCTCCTCTATCACAGTGTAGGAGGGGAGGTGGTGCTATTTCAGACACAGAAACCAAGGTGCCATCCTGGTGCCCACATGGTTCACATAGCACGGCAGAGATTGGACTGTTGTTGGAATCAGGGCCTCCTGAGTCTCAGCTTTCCTTTGGCCTCTAACTCTGTGCCTTACACAAAGGGGAAAGGTCCCCGACCCCATTTCGTTGATGCTAAAGCCAATGTTAAAAGAGGAGATTTTGCTGGAGCGTATGAATATAATCCACTCCCAATGTTTAACCCTGCATCCTATTCTATGATAGTGAGTTAGCCCAATTTTTCCCTCATTTTCATCTTCAAGTTTTATGTGAGATTCTTCCAAGACTTTATCTTCCTTTCCAATTCTTTTGATTCATGTTACTTGAGGAAAGGCAGAGATGTGCTCAGATGCTTCCTTCTGCATAGCTCTTTAAATCAGGACTTACCTAAGGATGAGCAGTTTTTAGATAAAGCTCTTTATTCGAAGTCTTTGGTTTTTCTATACAAGACATCGTATTGGAGGTATGCTGTATGATTGCTTTATATACGCAATTGTGTGACCATAGTGCAAAGTATATCTTTATAGTGAGAGGGGAGAAATGGGGATGGAGTCTTACACAGGTCATCGGAACAGTTGACCTTCAATTCACCTAGTACTTGGTCTTTGAACTGTAAGCCACACTCATGTCCTCACTTGCAAAATTTACTTTGTGGAGTAGCTGGGTCACTAAAGATACGAAGCAGAAGTTTGCACTCCCATCCTTGACCATTGGGTTCCAGTAATTCTTGTACCAAGTCATGTGACAGTTCAGAATTCTGGAGAATGTGCTAAAATAAGTCCCTGGAACTTGACCTTGTTCCACAGGATGCTGTATCTGACAATTTTACCCTTGTGAACTCTGGTTTACCCCTTACTTGAGCTAGTTGAACATAGAAGATAAAATTATCTTCTTGTATGATGTAACTTGGTAGAGTATCTGACATTAAGAGGTAGGGCATTTCATTGTGGAAATTGCCTTTATTTTTCTTGGAAATTACAACACTTAGCTTTTGGCTTCCTTTAAGTAATTTTATTGTTAATATTGGTGTTTTTTCTGCACATTACATCAGAGGGGTCTGACTTGCAGCTTCATTTCCCAGGAGCTCTGAAAGTAGAGAGAGAGGGAGGTAATCTAGATGTTAATAAACGTTTACATTTAATGAGGCAGTGGCCCATAGAGATGGCACTCTCAGAGATGTTAACCCCATAGATCAAACCTCTGGAGCCCTGAGAATTGCCAGGGAAGCATAGAGCTCCCAGACAGGACTTCTCTTTAGGGTAAAAAAGCGGTTTCCATTCTTGAGTAGATTTGATGATTTTTCAGATGTTGGTCTAAGGGTTCTTTGTCAAGCTTCTACTCATGAACAAAGACCTATCATAGTATTACCTCCTGCTGCTGCCTTCCTGACTCCCTGGCAGAAGAGCACTCTGCCTGCTGAGTCTCCCTAGCACTGTGTACATTCCTCCAGTAGGGCTGTTACCCTAATCATTGTTTTGTTCGTATGTTTCCCCCACAGGGCAGGGCAGGGATGCTGTCACATTCAATTTGTTTTAATTCCTAGAATCTAGGACAGTGCCTGGAGTGAATGAGTAATTTCTCGATGAATGTGTACAGGTTGTGTGTCCTCAAGAAAGAACTTAACTCCTCAGTTTGTCCCTTCCTAAGAGGATTGTGCCTTTGCTTTCCAGTCATGTCATCAAGTCCCACTGTTGGATCTTCTAGCACGTCCTCCATCCTCCCATTTTCCTCTTCAGTTTTTCCTGCTGTCAAACAGAAGAGTGCCTTTGCCCCTGTCATCAGGCCACAAGGCTCCCCTTCACCTGCCTGCTCCAGTGGCAATGGAAATGGATTCAGAGGTAAGCAAGGGCCCACTTTGGTACCACCATGATAAATGGGCCACAGGGCCAGCAAAGTAAGAGCAAACAGCACAGCATCACTCCCTATCTCTAGCCATTTACTTACAAAGAGATGCTTTGGTGTTTCCATCATGGGACACAGATGGCTTGTAGAACTGAGCTAGTACACCACCTGAGAACAAGATGGGGGAAAACAGAGAAGTTGGACAGCTCTTCAGGATCACAGAATTAACTATGGTAGAGCCATATATACCCTCCAGGAGTGTCTGGACTTCCCAGACCTTTGCTTTCCACAGGGCCATGTCACGATTTACCAGAAGGTGCCTAGTCACATCAGATACCACATGGTGATTGCTGCCTATCTGATGGGCTTGCCCATCTGCAGTACAGACCTATTCCCATGGCATACATGGACAGAATCCATCAGGAGCAACCAGCACATTGTGAGAATTCTGGTTACATGCCAGTCAAATTGATAGCAGGTGTCGGATCAGGGGTGGAGCAGGGAAGAAAGAAGAAAAAGACATACACTGTCTAAGTACAAAAATTAATATCACCCATCAAACCCATTTTTGAGCAATGTCTGAAAATATAGTATGACATAACATAACACAAATGTGATAAGTACATAAGAATCTAATCATTTCACTGTGAATGGGAGGCAGCTGATGGCAAAAGAGCAAATTGGAACCTGCTGAACACTACAGATCCCGATGACCCACATTATTGTTCGGCTCTTCTTTGAGTCTTGGCATGAAATCATTCATGACAAGCAAGTGTTAGATAAAACCAAGCAGGGCAGAGGTTGGATTAACCCCTCATGGATCAAAGCCTCTGAGGTCAGCAGAGCCTCGGATGAGCTGTGCCATCCCTGGGCTGGCATCTGCCTAGTAGCTTTACGGTTGTGCATAGATTCCTGATCCTCTGGGTCACCTGCGAGGGTTCATCTGCCAGTTGTGGCTGAGCAGAGCTCTGGGAGGTATGGTAGGTTCCTGTCCCATTCTACCATAAGAGACAGGGGTGTCTCCTCAAAGTCAAGTGACTTGACAGAGAAACTGTGAAATGGGAACTGAAAAGCCAGCACTCAGAAGAGTCCATGAAAATTCTTTTACTTCCATCTAGACAAAGCAGCTGGGTAACATGCTACCCAATGTGTGAGTAGTTGGAAACATCTGTCTATTTGAGGGGGAAGAATTTCATTTTCATCTAGATGTCTGATCCTTAGAGCAACAGGCTCAGCCTGTAGCTCAGCGTTGCCAACTGCCCCAGATCTCCTCAAGGACCGTTGGTTTCCATCGCATCCCTGGGAGATATGCTCATAACTTTTTCTATAAGTGGCTTCATCTCCAGACTGGGAAATGTATGCAAATGTTAAGTATTTGTTGTATCTTTCCCTTCTGCATGCCCGCTTCAGTGACGATGTCTCCTCTTTCTAAGTTCTGTGGTTTTAGTCACGTCCCTTAACAAAGTGGGGGCCCCACAGGTCTCATTGTGGAAATGCAGAGCGGGGGGCACCACAGAAGGCTAAGAGGGACTGCAAGTGTAGGCGGAAGTCGGGAGGGATTCCTTGTTCCAGGCAACCCTGGCCAACATTTTCAGCTTCACTTTGAGGAGAAAAAGTATAACTTGACTTCCACTTACCACCCCTCCCTCACCTCCTCTCTCACTCAGTTCGGGAAGTTGAGCTGGTTGTTTCAGGTCTTCTGGGTCTATACTGTCCAGAGAGACTCACATGTGGGCCTCCTGGCTTTTGCCCCCAGGGATGCCAGGAAGAATTTTTCACTGGCTCCCCTGGCCTGGAATCCCTACCCTGCCTGTTGCTGCATGCCCAAGTCTTGCTGTGGTATTACCCGCTAAGGGTTGAGTTGGCCCAAATTGCTGGAAGGGTCTTTGTGGTCACAGTGAGGTTTCTCTGCGGGGGCAGCAGTAGCCAAAATAGCCATAAGACCCTCTCTAGGGTCCTTGGCCATGTGAACTCCTGGTCAGCACAGGTCAGAATAAAGAGGCTGAGGTAGTGTCTGTGGGAGTGACGATGTCATCAGTTACACGTAGGCTCTGGGATCTAGTCTCATTTCTATAGAATCACTGAGAAGTCCTGAGCCTCTTTCGGATCCTACAATTCCCTCTAAATTTCTCTGGTGATTTGAACCTTAAGAAGAAGAAGGAAGACAGGGAAAGGAGGGGGAGGATGGGGGGCAGCGCCTAAATTAGTACAGACTGCCACGTTTCCTCATTTTGCATCAGGTGGCTAGAAGCTGATGCTAGAAGGTCCAATGCTACAAGGTGTCCCACTGATGCATAGAGGGAGAAAAACAAGCTGACATCCAATGCTCTCTCCAGCCATAGTCACTGAGTGAAGGAATCCTGGGATTGCAGGGGTGATCAGCACAAAGCTTCACCTCTTTAGAGACAGACAGTGGAAGAGTAAAAGTGTGGTCTGAAGTGCTGGGGTGATCACAGGCTGATGGAGAGGTTCTTCTCTCGACTTACAAGGTGAGATGGTCTCAATCATCTACAGAGGCCACATGCCACCAACCCTCTCTGAGACTTGCTGGTTTTGAGCGCCACGTGCAAGACGCCGAACCAAGCGCTTTACATGAATTATCTTGCTCAAGCCTCACATGTGACCGAAAGGGGAAGGTCATACCATTATCATCATTTTTAGTGAAGTCGTTTTCACAAGGCCACACAGTAAGATGACCTCGGACATTTTGACTCCAGAGCCTGTGCTGTGACAGCCCACTATCTCTCCAGGGACAAGAGCAGTGCATTTCCTCTCCTCACCCTTTACCCATACCTGCTTTTCACCTGGACCAAAGGGGGGTTATTGCCTTCCCATGAAATGCCAAAGGTAGAAAGAAATTGGACAAAGTGCAGTTCAGCCTGCTTCCCTTCCCCGCCAGTGAACACGCTTACTTTTTCTCCAGTTAACTTCTGCTTTCTGTCTGTTGGCTATGGTTTCTACAAGCAAAAAGTCAGGGTCACCACGTAGCAGAGATCCAGCCCACCTAGTGCCTGATGTGAGAGTAGGAAGAAGGGAAATATGTGAAATCTGCTGGTCTTCCGGCACACACTGGATCTTCTTCTTTGAGTGGCTCTGCCCTTTTAATAGGCTCCTTAGGTAACTCTGTGAGGACCCAGGAAAAAGAAGGGGCTGATGAGTTTTAAGTGTAATAGACAAGTTAAAGTTGAAAATGTGAACCAGAATCCTACCACCAGAGAGCTGTATGTGCAGTGTTCACTGTCCCACCTTCTACCTCATTTACCAGGCATTTTGCAGTGATGAGTATAGATTGTCGAGATAATATTATGCACTATGTGCCTGATTCATTTTCCAGCTCCCTCCAGGAAAAGAAATTAAAAAAACAAAACAAACAAACAAACAAAAAACCTCCTACACTCTGGGATAATTACCAGGGTTGCTATGTCTCCAAATCATCAGGGAGTGTCCAGAATTGAACTGCCTTTATTGAAAAGTTACATCGATTCAATATATAGAAATACAGGCAAAAATAATTAAGGCTTTGCTAGCTGTGTAAGACCTTAATCCAGATCTCACAAACATTCAATAAAGGCTGTATGGGCAGGGAACTAGACGGCTGACAATTTTGCCTGAGAAGACTTAGCTGGCATGGAGAGAAGGGGCGGAGGGAGGGGAGCAGGGGGAGGAGTAAGAGGTGGGGGTGGGGGCAAGCAGGAAGAATTTTGGCCATTTGCTTATCAGCTTAGTAAGCACCACTCAGCGAAATGCTTCTATGATAATCGATAAGCTCTAGATGAGCCAGAGACAATAAAACTCAAGGCATCAAATACTAGATACGGTTTGAAGTTTTGAGGAAAGGAAACTACTCGGCCGATTTCCAAGAATGTGGAAATTCTGTGGGTTCCTCACCTGAAAGCCAAGGTCAGAGGGGTGCATTTTGCTGTGTGATTTTTTTTTCCCCTTTGTGCTGATGCTGCTCTGGGGAAGCCTTGGACCCGACGCCCCCCACAGGTATTGTCTGTGTCCTCTTCACTAGATGGAGGAGACAATGGGCACTACCAGTGGATGGAAGGGGTGAAGAGTGGAGATTGGGTGACTCCCAAATTAGGAACTAAATGAAGTCTTCTATTCCAGTGGATCATCATTCATTAGTGAACAAGCATCACATATCAGCAGTGAAAGCCAAAGGAAGATGAGCTAGTTAGGGGAAGAAAAAAAAAAAAGCTCATCACATTTCAGCTGGAATGGATAGAAACCTAGGGTGCATAGAAAGCCTTGTTTGTTATAAATGATGCATGGAAAGTTACTCAATGGCTCGGCACCTGGGGTTTTCTTTCCTGTTTCAACTAAGTGATTTGAAACCATATAATCTAGAAATTATGATAGTCTAATGATGAAAAATAAATATATCGCAACTACATTAAAACTTAGCTCACGTGTTTATGTCTATCATGTCAAGTATACAACCCATTAATATAAAACAAGACAGAACATAGCTCTTGGCCTCCCCACAAAACTTCAACAAGCCTTGTTTATATTGCAGTGATTCTGTAAGGCTTCGGTGCTGCTGACAGGCTGTGTGCTAGATCAAACCTGGAGAAAATGGGTTCCCACATCAGCTGATGCACCATTTCCCGGGGTTATACCAGACTCTGTCAGTCCCCACTGCTGCCCCTCTCTCTGGGTTGGAGGCATAAGTGTAAACAGCTCTGAGTCTCATTCCTATGCCACTCTTTCCTTGCAGCCATGACCGGACTTGTCGTGCCCCCAATGTAAAGAAGAGGAAGAACTGCTTTCTTATAGCACAAAACTACTTACTCTGATGGACCAATAATGAAGAAAGCACTAGGAGCTCTTTGGGAAGAGTTGTGCCCCAGAATGAACACGACGGACAGATTTGAGTGTGCAAGGAGCTGCATTTTACCTGGTCTCACGTTTCTCATCTAGCTCTCATGGTGGCTACACAAACTGACCCTCTTGGGGACAAGGACAAAAGATGTCATTGACGTAGTCAGTGCTAAGAGCAGAAATGCAATTCTTTGTTATGAACATTATGAGAACCACCTTCCTATGTTTGTAAAATATTTAAGAAAAAAATTGGCAAACAATTCATGCTTAATATTTTGGATACTATTTGTTTTTCTTTGTAGGAAAAAAAAGTTGAAAGTTTCTATTTTCTATGAAGCCTTTCAGATACCAATTTAGTTTATGCAGAAAAAAAAAATTGAACAAAACAGGGTACCAGCATGGAAGACTTTCTTAAACGAAACCTGAATTGAATGATGAAATGTTGTTGTATGTGTGTTTGCTTATAGTTTAATCTCTTTAAAAAACAACAAAAAAAAACCCCACAAAAAAGGGAAAAATTTTAAAATGTTTTACAATTATTTAAATAAATAAACGTGTAACTTATTGTAAGTAGAGGTAGAAATTAAGACCTTTTCGGAAGAGAGAGGAATTTCTCTTCCTGATGTAAAATGAAAATGATGCAAACCAGTAGTAACAAGTTTAAAAGGTGTGTGATTATTACTGCAGTTACTTACTAGACTTTTATCCCCCATCCTGCATCCCCCTCTTTTTTCCATCATTTTATTGACCCATGGGCAAGAACATGTACCTTATATAGATTCCTATAGAACAGCCCGATGCAGAAACAGTATGCACGTACTCAAATACTCAAACTCATCAATTCATTCCCAGCTCCGTCCACTTTCTAAATAGTCTACATGTCCCTTTTGGTATTCACTCTTTGTGACTTTTAAAAAAAATTTATATTAGCCTTCAACCTTCTCCTCCGAGCAGTGCAGAGAATTCCCATGTTGTAGTGTGTCCCAGGCTTTGCATCCTGGGTGGAGACATGTGTCTCACCTAAAAGAAGAGCCAAAGCCGTGTGACTTTCCCAACCGAGTGGCCCCTTTGGAATTCTCTCTTGACAGAGCCACACGTGCCCTCCTCTTTTGTGACCTGGTTGAGCACAGAGGTGTGAGCCCCACAGAACTTCAGAGACAGGATTTAAGGAAGATGATCCTGTTTCTTGGACTCTTAAGCATGAATCTTAGAATGTCCGTGTCCTTTCTTCTCTCTGCAGATTTCCCCTCTCCTGGCATTCAACTCTCTTGAAAAAAAATATGTATCTTCCTTAACACAGTTTCCAGGCAAGAATGGGATGGTGTGTGGAAGAGGAATGTTAAAAGCCCTAAAACCCTCTCCTAATGTTCAGAAAGATGGAAACCTAGATTCTTAGCAGGGTTAGTGATTAGGGGCATCTGCGTTCCAAGCAGCACAGTGACCCAGGGTTGCAGTGGGCTCTCTATACTTCTGGAACCAGCTCCTAGGCAGAGAAACGTTGCAGGAGCTGCTAAGAGTGGCTGAGTCTTGAAAGTCTGTGTGATCCTGAAGATGTATCCAGACTTATTTGGATTTCCAATAAGGATGCCATTTTTTCATAGTTGGATGTCCAATAAGGGCTCTCCTTGTTGACTCATTGGTACCATAGTACAGTCCACATACAGATTTCGGTTTGGGGTTCTAACAGTAGAAGTTGTTGCAGGTCTCATGGAAAAACATCTTTAGTGCATCTGAGCCAATTTTAGATAACTTCACAAATCCTGCCTTCCTTCTGTTTGTCCCATTGATACCTGCCCATGGCTATCCAGCTCCCAACAGTCTCATTTGCCTTTTACTCAATATGACCCAAATATTATTTCTATGTACATGAGAATCCGAGGTTTGGGAAATCTGGCATGCTTATAATTACTGCTGTCAGTCCTTTGTGGTCAGGTCTTACAGCACCAAAACACAGGAAACACACGAGAGAAAGTTCCCCCGTGAAAAATCCGATCAAAGGGGAAGCATGTGTGGAATATGAACATCACCATCCCAAGGTGAAGGCGGAACAAAACTAAGCATGTTTAGACCTGGATTCAAGCCAATCCAACATAAGGAAATGTTTTTTTTAAGTAGCATTGCTTTTAGAATCTGTGAATTTTGCTCTTGCATGAAGATGAGTGCAGTACTGTCTTCAAACTGATTGTAGAATTTGTTGGTAGCTTTACACCGAAAAATGTGTGTAACTAAATACCAGACATCCTTGACCATTCAGCTAGAACCTTGGCAGCAACAGATCTATTTAATTGTACAAATGTGTGTAAGGATTATTTTTAGTGTACTAATAAATTAAAAACAAAGCTACTCTGTCCTCTTCAGTCTTGCTGTTGAATCATTCCAGTCCCAGGTTATTTTTGTGCCACTTGGAATACGAGTATTTCTATAGGTAACTACAAATTCTATCCTATATTTGTAAGAGGAGCTGTGTAAGATTTTCCATTTAAAGGGATAATTTACTTCATTATTTATCTCATTTTTTGTTATAGCATCATATTTTTTTTCCAGTTTTTCTTTGCACATCTCAATATGCATGGTTTAAAAACCATTATCTTCTCTACCTTTTGTACAGTAAGGTCTCATTTTCAAACTGTATAGTTTCATTTTATCAATTTGCTTTGTCAGTTATATACAGTATAAAGTTGCTATGCACAGAGCTTTTTGTAAAGACAGCTTTTTTGTTTACTGTTTTTAATGGTCTTACTTATTAAAGAATATCTTGTTTGTAAAATGAATATGTCTACTTCAGTTTTAAACTTTAAATTATCCTAACGAAAAATAAAATTTTTGTACTGTAAAAATGATTGGAACTTTGCCTTTTTTTTTTCCTGAAGTGAAAAAAATTAGTTTGGAATTTGTTCTTAAGTTTGGGGATTTTCTCATAACTGCTAGTCCCTGAGCTCTGGTTGAGGAAATCTTACTACAGCTTTTGCTTACACGGAAAGTGTTCTGAGGTGCTCACTTGGAGGAAAGAATATGTTTGATTTTAGGTCATTTTTCTGTATGTATTTACCCATATATCCATCTGGTCAAATTCCTTCATAAAAACTCAAAAGGATCCTACTTCCTAGGTTGGTCTTTTGCTGTATGGAATTCTTGAGGTAGGTGGGTAGTCTACTTAGGTTTGAAACTGCGTGTTGAACAAATGTTTGAATTGATCCATCAGATGGTGAAGAATTGGAGGCTGGACTCAAGGGCTTGAGGCCAATCTTAGATCACAGGAAGAGAGCAAGATGCAAATCCCTGCAAGGGACTGATCCGTAGGCAATGACTCATACAGGAAGATAGAAAGGGCTGCAGGAGCTCGGAGAATTCAACTATCACAGAGGGTTGCAGTGGTCAGAGAAGGTTCCATGGGGGAGGCAGGGCTGGACAGGCCTTCTAAGAATGGTAGGAATTTTGTGGCAGACGTTGGTAGTGAGCACTGCAGCTGGGAAGGCCATCATGAACAAAGACCTGTAGAAAGAAATTCACGAAGTGCATTTAGGTGAATGTGATGCTAAATGTCATTGTCCAGCAGACTGTTCACAAGCACACACATGATTGGATTATCTCATTTCTCTCTACAAGGGTATAGTTATCTTGAAAACACATAAATTGTGTCCCTTGCATGAGTGGATGAGATGCTCTTTCTGAGCACTACTCTGAGAAAGCCCCCACTGCTGTTTTGCTTTTCTCTATGAAGAAGAGCCCTCTGCCTAGACAGTGCTCGCCCTTCTCATGGGAAGGGGCTTGCTCTTTGCAGCCTGGTGTCTTCTCATCCTTCAGGCCTGAGTTCAAGTATCTTCTACTCGTGGAGGCCTTGGCTGACTTCTGACCATGCAAGTTTCCCACTTAACTCTCTTTAACTTAACTCTGCTTGTGTCCTCATCACAATTTGTATTCAATTGTTGTGTGTTTTAGACTGAAGACTCATAAGCACAAGGGCCTCATCACTCTCAGTACTTCCTGCAGAGCACCAAGTTCAGTGCTGGAGGTGCCTAACAGATACCTGTTAAATTGGTGAATGAGCACATTGGATTCTGAGCCCCAGAGGTGGCTCTGCCTTGTCGTGTGGGAGAGGTAGCTGATCTGTCACAAATGAGTGGAAATAGCACCACTTGGAGAGTCCACTCCTTAGGGACTATCTCGTCAGTCAACTAATCAAAAAAAGTGATGAAGTGCGTCTATAATGTAAAGTGACTGGTTGCTTAATAAACATAGAAATCTCAAAATGGGAGGAAGTGAGGAAGCAGAAGCCTCCGGCTGGTAGCCTGTTGGCTCAGTTGTTTTGCCCCTTGGCCCTGAAACTTATCCCATGTGGATTTTCATGATGTTCAGATGTAATTCCAGAACCAGAACCAGGGCCTGATAGGGAAATGTGCATTTCATTCCCGTTCCAGATATGATACTTGACTTGTCGACCACACACTTGAATCGCAAAGAGCTTATAGCGCCTTCACCAAACTGCAAGTTCACAGTGGCTGTAGGGCAGTGAATGTGAGAGGGTGAATATGAGACTTTACAGATGAGGTAGAAGCAAGGTCCTAAAGGATCTTGCTCACCATGCCAGAGAGTTTAGACTGCATCCCCATGACTATGCAGCAGGTAATGGAAAACTTCCAGGAACCTGAGTCAAGGAGTGACACGATATACTTTATGATGTGGAAAAATCACAGTAGCTACGGTGTGGATTATGGATTGAAGGAAGTGGATATTGGAGGCAAGGAGACCAAGCAGACGAGGGACAAAAGAGGGCTGATACGTACCAGTGTGCTGTACCAGTGCCCATGACAGACACCCATTTTGACTGGTCAGCACCTGTGCATGCCAGCCAAGAAGTGTTTTTAAGTGACTCCTGCAATTAGGACAGCATTGTAATAATCCCGATAAGAGTGACTCATACCTGACCTAAGGATTGCCAATAGAGATGGAAAGTAGTGGAAAGATTTGAGAGAAAGACTTGCAGTTTGACAGGCCTTTACTGACTGATTAGATGTGGGAATGAGGGAGAAGACGGGGCTAGTATAAGTCCCAGTCTCTTAGTTAGACAATTGGATTCTGTGTTAATATTTACTGAAGTTGGGAATAAAGAGGAATGTATTGTGGGGAATGGAGAGATATAATGATTATAAATTGGGGCACAAACTGCTCTGGTTCCTTTTTTTCTTTCTTGGTTAGCCAAAGATTGTTTTCCCAGTTTATTTAAGGACTCTGGAGAATTACACTCTTTG